TCAGCAGGCTGCTGACCAGCCTAAAGGAGACAGCAAACCCAGAATTATCTTGAGAAAGAATGTCTTGAGAAAGTCAACCACATCGAAAATAGGAAGTAACTGTAACTGGTAAGCGGGCTGGTCAGCCACCGCCTCTTCCTTGTAGTCCTCCTTCCCTTGTTTTGTTTAATTTTATATAGAAACCTTTGTATAGATAAGTTTATCTTCATGCATATTATCATTTGTAAGAACCAACACTTATGAGTACCCATATGGAGTGGAATGGTGCTCTCTGAGAGCTGTAGGATTTTAGAAAATGTGATCATCTTGGTTCCTGTTCTTACAACTCCAAAATAGTTTTAGTAGCGAGAGCTTTTGTTTTCTTACTCTAGAATCAGAAATAGCATCTTCTTCAAAGGGGTGTTCGAATAATTGAACTTAAAAACCTATCCATGTGAGTTATCCACTTGATGACATGGCTATCTAAGATCATATTTTTGGGGAGAGAGAGGTGAAAGTTTATGCTTTAGGGCACGTACGCTCACCAGAGAGACAAAGTGAGAAATCACCCCCCAGGGGGCTTGGCCACGCCACAATCCCTTCTCCTCCATTCTCCTCTCAGGATCTTGGGCACACATGCACATGAGCCCAGTGTGAGTTTAAGCCACCATGTCCAGGACTCAAACCACAGTTGACTTACATGGGAGTTCAGTGATGTAGCCATAACACTATCTGCTGGTCCCAAGGTCGTATCTTTCTCGGCAGGTAGAAATGCAAATGTAGAGGGACCAGCAGTTAGCATAATAGCTATGTCGCTGGACTCCCATGTAGTCGACTGCGGTTTGAGTCCCAAACCCGGTGGCTTAAAACTCATGCCAGGTGCTTGTGTGTGCATGCCGAGGATCCCAAGAGGAGCATGAAGGAAAAGGGATTGCAGCACGCCCATGGGGGATGATTTCTTGCTTTCTATCTGTCTGGCAAGCGTGTGCACCCTATGGCAAAAACCTCTCAAAAAAAATGCAAATGTAGAACTTTGTCCATTAACAGATTTTGACTATTATCATCACAATGCCATAGGATAACCTATTTTTATGTTTGTGTATCATTGTATAGCTTCTTTGACCTACACAATATGTATTCTTCATTATAGCCCAGTATAAGCATAGTTTATTTTATTTTACAGATAACAAAATGAGGCTCAGAGAAGTGAATAACTTGCCCAATTACTAAGTCTAAGAGATGATACCAAAATACATAGTTACCTGACTCCTGCCTGGTCTAGTGGTTTTTATGTCTACCACTCTTAGATGCTGATGCTTCCCTGGCACTGTGAGGTCCCCAAGAAGATATTAAGGGGAGAAGGCATGCCCCCAAGGAGCAACTGTATGGAGTTGTCTCAAGTTCCACCTCCACTGTAGAAAGAGTTTTGCTTTTTGTCTTTCATGCAGGGGACCTTCGGGTGTTAGAACACTCACTGCATTAGCAGCCAGTTGATTTTGTTCATGGCTTCTTTCCCTGTGCCCCGTATAGCCTCAGAGTGAACATGAGAGTTTTCAGCCCCAAAGAAAATGGCCTCCTGGGGGAATCATGATTGGGGGGAATGAGAGTAAATGATAGTCTGATGAAATACAACCTCTGAATGGACGCTTGTCACAAGGCTCGCCAAAATGTGCTTGCTGTGACATTACATTCACTTCCTCTGCTTGTTTTTCTTCAAAAGGAAAGAAAAACTGAAGGCTCCACTGAGGATAGGGAGATGACTGTGTTTGGCAAGGAGTAGGAGTATCTGAGACTGTCTGAGGTTTTGCAGGGGCTGCTGTCGTATCACAAGCCTGTCTCCTGCACTCCCTGCTTCCTTAGGAGCCATGCCAGACCAGTGCTGGCCCTGTAGCCAGGACACAAACCAGGCCAGCCCCTCTGGCCTCACACGGAGGTGTGGACTGTCCTGGAGGGAGCTATTTTGGGTGAAGTCTATTTTGACTTGTTTACCTGTGTGCACCACTGAATGCAGTCCTGATTGGAAAGGGTGGGATCTAAGACTCCTTGTCTCAGACACAACTGAGAAAAAGGTCATTTCTCCTAAGTAATGATTCATCTTCCCACAACCCTTCACATTAGGATACCACGCAAGGCCCCAGCTCATGACACTAATGGAAATAACTTCCAGAGGGCGCAAAGACAGATGTGAACCTGAACCGATTCTTATTTGCACAGATCGTTTTTCTGTCACTTTAACTTCACAGTAAATAAAAAATTCTACCAGCTATGCATGGGTTTGCTTCTCTTACCTGGCATTCCCAAATTAGTGTGTATTTGCCAAATCTTTGAGGTTTCTGTCTCAGAGAAAGGTAATTATAGCTTGAACCAAATGAGCATTGCTAAAGACCAGACTGGCTTCAGGGTCTGGTCAGCTGAAACCAGGCTGTGCAGATTCATCAATGACCCAGCAAATTTGAAGGAAAATTCCCATTTGGATACTGGTTTATTTATAGATAGTTACTCATTTTTTTTTCATTTCTCTTTTTCTGGGTCTCTATTCTGAAGTATTCATAAATCTCTCTCACATCTCCCTTGATTGTAAAGTTTTATAATAGGACCTAAATAAACCAACCCTAATAGCTTCCATTAATTAATTACTTACATTGTGCTAGGTCCTACGTTATCATTACGTCTAGTATTTAATATACTCTTGGGTTATTGAAAAACTCATGGTGCAGTTTTGCATAGAAAAATTTAGACAAAATACATCATGACTTTTCTGACAATAAAATATTTACAATCTTAAGAATAGATACCTTCTTTAGTCCCATCTTATAAATGAGAAAACTGATGTTCAGACTGGTAAGGTCACACAGTTCATAAGTGGAAATACCAGAAATCGAACTTAGTTCTGCCTTGCTCATGCCTTTAAATAACATATTATTCCACTTTTTTTTTTACATTTAATCACATATACCCTTAGAGTGTGTAACATTTCCCTTTTCAGCACAATTATCATGCATATTTGTCAAGATATAGACATTACTATACACATTATCAGCAGCTAATAGCTTTTCATTTTTTTGTCAATTATATGTACTTTTAAAATTTTTCTTCTCCTGTTCTCCTTCCTCCTTTCCTCCACTACCCAACCCCCATATTACCCCATCCTTACTATCTCTAGTATCTACCATTGCCCTCCCTGCTACTATTCCACTTTAATTTTTAAGATCAGTGATTATTATCAGCAGAATAATTTAATTGACCACAAGTCAAGAGCAGCCATAGGACATTCAGTAGTGATCACATACCATTTTTAATGCCCACAAGACATACATGATTCAGAAAGAGTAATGAATGTAAGAGCCCGTAAGTCTCTTACATTAGATAAAAAATAAATTTACATTCCATAAGACCCTGTCTAGTTCAAAAGACGTTCTTCAGATGCAAAGTATTTGCACATCTTAAGAATCAAAGAAATGTGGGAACAAGCAGTTAGCGTAATGGCTATGTCGCTGGACTCCCACGTAGTCGACCGCGGTTCGCATCCTGGACCTGGTGGCTTAAAACTCACGCCGGGCACGTGTGTGTGTGTGCCCAAGATCCCGAGAGGAGAATGGAGGAGAAAGGATTGCGGCTTGACCATCCCCCCTGGGGGGTGATTTCTCGCTTTCTGTCTCTATGTCTCTCTCTGTCTGTCTGGCGAGTGCACGCGCCCTATAACAAAAAAACCTCTCCAAAAAAAAAAAGAAGAATCAAAGAAATGCCAAAATCTAGCCAGTGATTAGTGTAGGTGAGTATTACAAGTTTTTATGAGTGAATACAATTGAGATAATGTCAGCTTTCCCTTTCAAATTTTAAAACCTATGACATAGTGATGATAAACACTCTTCCTGGGGGTGCTGAGAAGAATCCCTCAGGATGTCTGTTACTGCAGGTCTTATAGCTGGCCAGACAGCTCTGATTTTAAATAGCATCAGTGAACTGGATGATAACTGTCTTTAGAGGCTAAGCAACCTGAGTTTACAGAGATGGTTTAGTAGGTACTCATCTTTTAGTCCAGGAAGACTTAGAATGAAGGAGAAAATGTTGTTAAAGAATCAATATCATAGTAATTATATGTGTGTGTGTGTATGTGTGTGTGTGTATAGTCGTCAGGAAAGTCATGATGCATTTCTGGATAGAAAAACACATATATATATTAAAAAACATATATGTATATAAAGTAGAATCCTTAACTATTTAAATATATGTGTTTATTTGTGTAAATAACTTTTAGGTCATTGGAAAAGTCAGGACGTGTTAATTTATATATATATATATAAACACATGTTCTTGTGAGACTCAAGAGAATTTGGCCTAATGAAACAACAATCTGGAGACCAGTAGGTGGAATGTTGGTTAAGACACTGGATCCCACATGGCCAACTCCACAGTCCGAGACCTAGACCTGGTAGCCTGAGAAACATACCAAGCATGTGTGCGTGCGTGTGTCCAATATCCTGAGAAGAGAGTGGAGGAGGAGTGTGGCCATCCCACCTGGGGGGTGATTTCTCACTTTCTGTCTGTCTCTAGAGAGCACACACACCCTATGGCAAAAATAAAAATAAAAAAATAACCCCAAAACTCAAAATTAGAATGTATAATTGAATAATTGGTATTCTCAGTGATGAGAAAAAGTTACTTAATCTCCATTATCTTCAGTTGTCTCACCTGAAACGTGACAGTAGTTACAGTATTTAGAGCATAGGATTGTTGTGAAAGTTGAAGTAGGAAGTGAAGGTGAAGTGGTCCTGATCACAAAAAAAGTGATCATAGATACTCCATATCATTATCTTCATTTTACAGGTGAGATATATATTTTTTTTTTTTGAGAGATTTTCGCTATAGGGCGCATGCGCTCTCCAGACAGACAGAGAGAGACAGAGAGACAGAAAGCGAGAAATCACCCCCCAGGGGGAATGGTTATAAAGTAGAATCCTTAACTATTTAAATATATGTGTTTATTTGTGTAAATAACTTTTAGGTCATTGGAAAAGTCAGGACGTGTTAATTTATATATATATATATAAACACATGTTCTTGTGAGACTCAAGAGAATTTGGCCTAATGAAACAACAATCTGGAGACCAGTAGGTGGAATGTTGGTTAAGACACTGGATCCCACATGGCCAACTCCACAGTCCGAGACCTAGACCTGGTAGCCTGAGAAACATACCAAGCATGTGTGCGTGCGTGTGTCCAATATCCTGAGAAGAGAGTGGAGGAGGAGTGTGGCCATCCCACCTGGGGGGTGATTTCTCACTTTCTGTCTGTCTCTAGAGAGCACACACACCCTATGGCAAAAATAAAAATAAAAAAATAACCCCAAAACTCAAAATTAGAATGTATAATTGAATAATTGGTATTCTCAGTGATGAGAAAAAGTTACTTAATCTCCATTATCTTCAGTTGTCTCACCTGAAACGTGACAGTAGTTACAGTATTTAGAGCATAGGATTGTTGTGAAAGTTGAAGTAGGAAGTGAAGGTGAAGTGGTCCTGATCACAAAAAAAGTGATCATAGATACTCCATATCATTATCTTCATTTTACAGGTGAGATATATATTTTTTTTTTTTGAGAGATTTTCGCTATAGGGCGCATGCGCTCTCCAGACAGACAGAGAGAGACAGGAACAAAACGAGCAAAACACCCCCCCCCGGGGGGAATGGTCATGCCGCAATCCCTTCTCCTCCATTCTCCTCTCGGGATCTTGGGCATGCACGCACATGCGCCCGGCGTGAGTTTTAACCCACCGGGTCCAGGACGCGAACCGCAGTCGACTACGTGGGAGTCCAGCGACATAGCCATTACGCTAACTGCTGGTTCCCCAGGTGAGATATTTTTCAGGCGAATTAATTGACAAGTGTAGAATCAACATAGCTAAGTACACCGTAGACCCCAAATCTGGATAAACAGTACGTCCTATGGTCTTTATATACCATGATGTTATCTGTTGAGATATTCAAGCATTCTGAATCTGTAAAAATTCAGATTACCCATTATTATTCATATAATTTTTAAAAATAAAAGCTTATTTATTTCTTCAAAGAGAGAGAAAAAGAGAAGCACTGCCAACAGTCTTCACACTGCAATCTATTCCCAGCCTCAGCCAGCCAGGGCTATGGCATGCAGGTGCCCACCGGAGTATGGAGGTAGACCTCAGACACAAACCTGGGCCCTTTCCACATGGCTTCAGCATATGGAGCATTGAGTTACTGCTGTGAAGTACCGCCGGCCTCATAATTGTTTACGCTCCAAGTCACATATGGAGAATGTGCTTTTATACAGATGGATAAAGAGTCTGAGCCACCAAGCAAATACACGCTCCGTATCTGAAGCTCCTCAGCCACACAGTATACTTTCAGATGCTGTCAGTACTGAGGTTTCCATAAGTTTATTTGTTTTGGGTAAATTTTTGCAACTTTACACCTCCTAGGGCCCCAAAGTCACACTAGAATTTTAATCCAACATCAGGAAAAGGATGGAGAAGTGAATTATTTTTTATACTCTTCTCTGGGTATGTTTCCCCCACCACCCTTCTGGCTCTGAGGTTGTTGTAACGTGAAATTTTTAAAATTATTTTATTTAACTTTATTTATTTATATTTTTTAAATTTGACCAGAGAGGGGCAGAATGAGCGAGAGAAAAGTGAGAAAGCAAGCCGCCAGGTCCAGGACTCAAACCACAGTCGGCCATGTGGGAGTCCAGTGACCTTAACCACCATGCCACTTAGCCAGCCCCTAAGGTGATTTTTAATAAACAACACTCCCTGGAGGCTCAGAGAGCTGAGTCAAGAGGATTTCTCCTCTTTTGGTCTTAGTGGGGCTGTTGGTTTTTTCCTACCTAGTTGGAAGGAAGCAGAAAATCACGCATAGTGTGCCAAGTCCTGTTTGGATCTAGAGGAGCCTAATAAATACGTAAAATAAAAGTGCTATGTACAGCACTCTACAAAATCACTGGGTAAATAAATTAACCCTCAAAGGAGGTCAAAATTCTATATTCTGTGGGGGAAAAAAGAACATAAAAGAAAAGATCCATTCAACGTCATCAAATCAACACTCAAGCCTAGAGCTGAGCCCCGCCAGCCTTGCCATCAGAGCCACTTCCAAATGGACAAGACAAAGCACAGTAACCACAGTGCTATGAAATAAGCAGACCTCTCTCCAGGGAGAGTCACTCTCTATAAATGCAGACATGGCTCTATGTTTCCATAGTAGTTTCATTAGCTAATGAAGAACAAATTCATGCCTGCCTCTTCAGAAATCAAAAGTGGTGTACCTGGATAGGAAGTTCTCCAGGGACTGCTTCTTGTCCTCCTTGCATACAATGCCCTCCTTCTTCTGCTTCTCCATGTCTTTGATTCGGGACTGGAAAGTGTCGATCAGATCGAACACAGACTTCATTGCTATAGGCACCTCATAGTATTGCTGTTTAAGAAAGATTAGAATGCATATATTTAAGTACAATATGTATGTCAGCCTTCTGCTCAGAGAATTCAGGAGAACTCTGAGGGAATTTAGATCAGAGTCTGGAAGGCCCATTGATTTATAAATGCTCTCCTGCACTAACACCCTAAGCTGTTGTTTGGAGGTTCAGAATCCATGAAACTACTACCACTTTCATAAGAAATTCTTGATTGCATGCCTTTTATTGGAAAGGGTCCACGTCTTTGTCACCATACAAATTCTAGATTCACTTCCCCTCCCCTTAGACTGTACTGTTCCTGTTCACCACACAGCTGGAAAAGTGAATGCTGTACCTAACAGGAAACCAAATGCAACAGGTAGAGTATGTGATCTAAACAATAAGGGTGGTTTTCCAGCACAGCCTGTTCTGTAGTCTCAGAGATTGTTTTATTGCATGAGCATCACTTAAATCAGGTTATATTTGCTTAGAAATTTTCAGAAACCAGTTGGGAACTAACTTAGGAAAAATGAAGGTCAGTTTCCCAGACCGTATCTGTCTGAACTTAAAGCAGCAACCTGACAGGGATTTGAGGGCTGACTGAGCATACCGACCTTGGAGAGCAGTCATTACATGGCTTAGCACTGTGTGCCCAAAGGGAATTCAGTAAGTCACAGGATGCGAGAGCTGGCAGGGATCTTAGAGATCATCTAGTCCAACCTCTCACAATGGGCAACACATGTTTGGAACGAATTAATGAAGCAATTTCTTGACAGATCCAGAAAAGTACACATGCTGAGTCAGCCATTCTGATAGCTTCCCCTGCACCCTAAAGATTTTCCTCTGAGAATAGGCACTCACTGTAGACTGTCAAAGTACTAGAATGGTCAAGACTCTGGAGCCAGCCCTGGTGAAAAGAAAGTTCAATCCTAACCAAGTGAATGGACTTAGGCAAGTTCCATAACTATTCTGGGCCTTTTTTTTCCTCTCTGGAACAAAATATAGTTTATCTTAGAAGTTCAAGGTAAGGATTGCAGAGTACTTGGCATAAGGAAAGCACGCAATAAAGCTAATAGCCACTTTGGTTATAACTGTATAACACAGTTTTCCATGGTTCAGAACGTCTGTCACCAAGCACAGAAAGCAAGTAGCTGTAAAACCTTACACTTTTGTCCACGTTGGATCAGAAGGTAAACCTCCAAGCCCTTCCAAACTAGGCCTGTTTTAAGTACAGGTTTCTCGAAGGCAGAGGCCACTCCTCAACTTTTATCTCCAGGACCTGGCACATTGTACCTATTCAACAAGCATCTGATGAATGCACACGTTAATATCAGAGGAGAATTTAGTCTGGGCTCAAAGAGGCCAGTCCAACCACTGTTTTCCAAAGGCTGCATTTTTGGATGCAAATTTGTGTGAAAACATGGAATATTTGAGACAGTCTAAAGCCTTCCCATATATGAAATCATTTGTGCTTACTCACATGTCTAAAGACCTCATTAACAAAAAATTTCAGTTGCTATTTGTAGGAATGACACTCATCATTCAAAATATCATTCAAAGCAGGAACCTATACCTTGACTCTCAGATCCACATCTGTCAGCACCATAAAGAAGTCATTGTAGGTCATTCCATACTCTTTCCTCAGCTCACCGATGAGATGCTGATCTACCAAGTCTTCATCATCCACCACCCGCATGGGTTTTTCATTATCTTAAAGCAAATGAAATATGAGTAAGTTTGGATGTGACAAGACAATTAGTGAGATGTGAATTGGCAGAGGCTCTGGGCCTCCATCTTGTTCTAGGAAAAGCAGCCTTCATTCTTTTTAGATATATGAGTGACATTATGTTTGGATAAAAGGTTTCAGAGTGAATTAATAAATATAGAAACAAAAAAGTAAATAAACTAGTTTTAAAAGCCATTAAAAAACATGATCAAGATCACATCTCTGCCATGTTCATAGTGAGTCAGGAAAAGCAGAGTAAGAATGAAGGCTGCTGAGTCATCCCTGGAAAAAGATTGCCAACTCATCCAAGGAATGAGTCATCAACCTCACTCACCAGAAAAATAGACCCAAATATTTTTGTTAAGTTTTATTTCTGTTAAGCCTAATTCTGAATTTGAAACCTGTGTTTCTTCTTCCTCTGTAGTAAAGAATTAACTTTGAGACTCTATGCATATCACAGAGAAAAATAAAAAGTCTTTGTTCAAATCTAATCATAAATTCATTCTGGCTCCAAAAGAAGTCAAGTTATTTATAATACAAGTTTCTTAAGTAAAAAGCAATTTCAAGCAAAGTGCATGAATTTATGGACGTTTTTAATCCATTAGGTATTTTAAAGCCCCACAATAAGTAATTATAATTCAGAATGGTTCCTGTATATGTCACTAAAGGTGTCACTGAATTAATTGGAAGCATGAAAATTAAGGTAACTGTGCATTTACATGGGAAATTATATGTCTGGAAAGCATTTTAACATTTCTAAGGAATGTTTCTATTTTATTTTATTATTATTTTATTTAACTTTACTTATTATTATTATTATTATTAATAATATTGTTAATGTTATTTTTTATTTGGCCAGAGAGAGAGAAGGAAAGTGAGAAAGCAAGCTACTCAAACTGTGGTTGGCCATGAGGGAGTCTGGTGCCTTAACCACAATGCCACCTGCCAGCCCCAAATGTTTCTACTTTCTAAGGACAAGATAGCTTTATATACTTCTTCCTAAATAGCTCACAATGTTTTCCTTAACCCTGCCTAAAGTTTTATCTGCAAAATAATCCCCTATGTGTTAAACAAATGTGAACAAGTTAAAGTTAGCTCATATGTGATCACAGCAATATTAGCAAAGAGATTTTATCAGTTATTATCCACACGACTACCCGGTGAATAACACTCTAGGACCACACTGTAGAAGAAACAACCACAAAATAATTTGCAGGTAAAAGATTATAGCTTGAGTATCATAGACCATTACTCTTACTGATAAACAGGGACAATAACACTTTATTACTTGTGCTTATGTTATCGGAACTATAAGTGTATAAACAAGGAACTTGGTTTCTTCCAAGCAAATTAAAATAAGAGGGGAAGAACCTGCTTTCCTCCCTAAAATTATATAGAGTTTCATGGACGTGGTGCAGAGGCATGAGAGATGAGAGCCTACGTGAAGACCAAACACTGTTTACAAGATGATAAATTATATTCCTCAGACATGTAAATTACTTTTCCAAATCTACATTTTTTTAGGTTTTTGCCTTAGGGTGTGTGCACTTGCCAGAGAGAGAGAGACACAGTGAGAAAATACTATGATGTCTTAAAAAGGAATGAGAGAGATTTCTATATACTTGTAAGTAAAGATCTTCTGAAAATATTTTTAAGTCAAAAAGCAAGGTATGAAAATAGAAAATATTAATATGCTGTATTTTACATAAAATGAAGAGAAATATAAGTATATTTATTTGCACTTGCATAAAGAAGTACTAAATGAATAAACTGGAATCATAAAAAGATTACCTGTAAGGACAAGAAGCAGCAGGGTTGAGGGAGTTGCAAGACTTGTCTCTGTCTACATTTTTATATATTTAATGTTGGAATCCAAAAAATAAAAAACAAAGAATATCTTGGTAGAGTCATCACTTACCAAAAACAGAAGAGCTATTTGTTTTTCAAGGCTCTCCCATTAAATCAACTGATTTCAAAACTCTCTGATAATCACAGTATTTTCTCTGATGACTGAAATGAAAGGAGCTTTCCTTCCCCACATTCTCCAAAAGCTTGTTTCGTGCATTTGACTCACTAGGTACTTTTTACTCCTTGATTGTCGGGGGTTGATTTGGACATTGATAGGACTGATGTTGGAGGCAACGAAGGCCTAGAGAATAGAATGACTGAACAAGTCAGGAGACAGGTTCTCTATACTCTAGGGAACGGGACACCCTCCCCCACAACCAGCCCCCTCAAGCCAGTACTCAAGGGTGAGCAGCAAGCAAACAAGTAAGGTTTCGGCTGTGTTTTCAGCCACTCCCTATCACTCTGCTGCCTGGGCTCTGCCTCCTGTCTGGTATTGTATTCTCCCACGAGAATATAATAAATCAAATGCATGGGTACCACTAACGATGCCTTTACATCTTAGGCCACTTTTAACTTTCATGCATACTGTATTCTGCCGGCAAACCAGGTGAATATTGGAATTTGCTCAAGCCTGAAATCTCAAGGTAGGATTTCCTGGTGCTTGTAAGTCCATCCTGGATGATCCACATACACTTAGCAAGATGGACTGGCTGGTGAGTGGAACTCACAACTGTAGCTGGATATGAAAGTCTGAAAGAGTAGAGAGTACTTGATTTATTCTTATGGAAAAATAAGGCCATCTGATAGATTTCCAGCTGAAAATCGGTCAAGGCTGGAGTTTGGTTCACTGAGACAATGGCTCAGGCCAATTTTTATTTTCCCATGGCTGACTCCCAGTCTTGGCTGGAAGCACTGCAGCCTTTCCCATAAGGGTAACCTGGGACATGACACAAAGAAAGAAAGGCCTTCCAGGAATTAATGAGGAACAAAGTAAAGCCTTTCCCCTCCCCCCAAATCAGGTCCAGGCTGCCATTCAGTGAGGCAAATATCCCAAATCATAATATCTGATTTTCAATAAGGCATAAAAAGAAAACCTCAGCCCTCTGCAGTTCATATTCAATCCAGATGTCTAGAAAACAGCAGGATTATGCTAAAAATGTGCCAAGGCAGCACCAGATGCTTATAATAGGACCATACAAAGGTCAAGGTGGAAGATATAATGATTTTTCCAAACATCTCTGAAATAAAGAGTGAGAATTCTTTGTGGGAGAGTTGGTGGGTAACGCGTTTGACACTAGGAACACCTGGTCAAGAAGAGCTTTCATCACCAGCCAGCACCAGTCTCTGTACTGGGTTAAATAACTACTTCCCCCCTGGCCATCTGGAGTGCAGTAAGCTCACTGGCTCATGTGGCTTTATGGTATTAATCTCTTGGGTTTCAGGAGTAGTAATTCAGCCTGACCTGGAAGAGCAGTTGTGAGGGCTGATGTATCAAGATTCTATAATTAGCAGAAAGCAATTACAAGTATTTTGATTATAGTTGCTCCAGTAACAACTATGACAGCTCATCCATCTCCAGATGATTGCCAGATCAAACGCTGGTGCTAATAATGACTACAATAATAGTGCCTACTAGCTGGCACAAATCTGTACACATTATCTTATTCGATCTTCACTGTAGCCTGTGAACTAGGCATGATTATCTCTTATTATTAATTACTATTATATTATTATGTCAGAGAACACACATGCGCACCAGAAACAGAGAGGGGGGAAGTAGCATCAAGGGGGCATGGTCATTCCACAATCCCTTCTCCATGTCTCCATCTTTGCTGGAATTTTTTAGGCACATGTGCACATGCACTGGCATGTTTTCAAGGTGTTGGGGCCTGGATTCAAACTACAGCTGACCATGTGAAATCCAGCTCTCTTAATCTCTAGGCTACTGGGCCAGCCCAATGTCATTATCTTCTAAGCTAAGACTAAGACATAAATTGCCCAGGACCATACAACAAAAATAAGTGACTATGGATTTGAATCTGTTGGCTGTGGCCAGCAGGTGGTGTGGTGGTTAAGGGCTCTGGACTTCCACATGACCGACCACTGTTTGAGTCCCAGATATGGGGACTTGCTTTCTCACTGTCTCTCTCCCCTCCCCCGCTCTGTCCCTCTCTGGTCAAATTAAAATAAATAAGTAAATAAATAAAGTTAAAAAAAAAATTCTTTTTTTAATAAAAGGAACCTGTTGGAACCAGCAGTTAGCGTAATGGCTATGTAGCTGGACTCCCACGTAGTGGACCGCGGTTCGCATCCCGGACCCGGTGGCTTAAAACTCATGCCGGGTGCATGTGTGTGCGTGCCCAAGATCCCGAGAGGAGAATGGAGGAGAAGGGATTGCGGCATGACCATCCCCCCTGGGGGATGATTTCTCGCTTTCTGTCTCTATGTCTCTCTCTGTCTGTCTGGCGAGCGCCACCGCCCCTGAACAAAAAAAAAAAAAAAAAAAAAAAAAAAAAAACCTCTCCATAAAGAAAAAAAAAAGAACCTGTTTGCCTCCAGAACTTTTGTGTCTTTTGTTTATATGATTTAGTTGGTGGTGTTGTTTTCATTAAGGACACTTTTCTTGTTTCTTTGTTTGTTTGTTTGTTTTGTTCTCTCCCCTAAATGTACACACAGCACAGAGATGTATATTCTCCAACCAAGCACAAGCAATCAACAGTGATTTATGATGGAACACTGGAATAATACTACTAATTAGAATACTAATCATCTCAAAAAAAAAGTGAACTAATAAAAGTTGAGAATGTATAACTGAAAACTTATACTTAAGTAAGTTCTAGAGACCTTCTATTGAACATTGTGCCTATAATTAATGATACTATATTTTGGACTTAAAATTTTGTTAAGAGGGTAGCTCTCATATTAAGTGCTCTTACCACAATTTTTTAAAATATGATTTAGAAAGTTAGGCCATATTCAAATCAAGTTGATATTGTTATGTCCTAATTGTGGCTGATGTAAGAAAAGCCAGGAGACTCTATGAGATAATATATGTATTGAACTTAGATGATAACTAATAAAGGAAATATGTTTTATACTCTTCCAGATATTTATCGTTGAAATATATTTTTAAAAAAAACAAAAAACAAAAAACTTATTCTGAGAACCAGCAGATGGCGTAACGGCTAGACCACTGGACTCCCACGTAGTCAACCGCAGTTCAAGTACCAGACCTGGTGGCTTAAACTCACGCCCAGCACATGTGCATGCGTGCCCAAGCTCCAAAGAGAAGAATGGAGGAGAAGGGATTGTGGTGTGGCCATCCCCCCGGAGGGGGATTTCTCATTTTCTGTCTCTCTGTCTCTCTCTGTCTTTCTGGAGAGTGCATGCACCCTATAGCAAAAATCTCTCTCAAAAAAAAAAAAACCAAAAAACTACTCTGAAGGATTTTTTTTATTATAGCTAATAAGAACAAAAACAACAAAAGTAGAAAATATGTGTAAGAAAATAGTTGGTTTTTGTTTTTTAAATAAAGCCCTAGAGATGTAAGAATTATAAAAGAAACCAGGTAGGTCAGATTCAGGACTTCTGCCTGGAGGCTTAACTAATCATAGTAAGTCATGCAGTGGTTCCATGGGAACCAAAACAAGCCAGATCACAGCTGCCCAAGACTGAGCTGTTCGCCTCCTGAGTCTCACATGCATCATGAATATGAAAAATTGTGAAAACTTTAAATTCAGCCAAGTATCTCTGCTCTCCAAAAATACCTGGGCACAGTTCAGTCCACATTTTCAGTGACTTTTCATTTAGCTTAACAGCTTCTCTCAGCTCTGCTTAATTCCCTCTTCAGCCCTGCCAGAGGCAAGTACTTCCAAGGGTCTGGCAGGTCCCCATCTGTGATGAGTCACCTGCAGCATGAAGTCCACAGAAAGATCGGATGGTGTTGCTCATAGGCCAGAGGACTGAGGACCCAGAAGAAAGTGTCTGCACATCTCTAATTCTCCCCTTTACTTTTCTCATTTTCCTTCACCTTCGTGAATTTTAGACAATGAACTGGTTATATATATTTCATTTAAAAGTACTGAATACTTAAACCAGAACTATCCAGGAAAAGCTATCAAAATAAGTAGCCAATAGACCTGTGTTATTATAACCAAAGAGTCCTCTGGGTACATGTGAATTTTCCTTTTGCTCTCCAAGGACCTCTTCCAGGAAATTTGTCCCACCTCAGAGATGATAATAGCAATAATAATGATAATTAAAATAAGAGAACCTAGCTGGAAGTGGTCTATTTTCATGGTGCTGTTGTTGACGGGACCAAAGATGGTGATCACAGAGATTCTCCTGGTGGCCATCTTGCAGAAACTTTCCAGATACTCATCACGCTGTTGCACATACATGTTGTTTTCAGCCTTGGGAGCAGTGATCAGCTGGCAGTGGGTGAAAATAAGCAAATATGAATTTATAGTCATAGTTTCACATTGAGGCAAGACCCATGGAGACGATTTGGAATACAGGGATAGTCGTGACTAATACCAGAACTCCAGACTACTCTGTAGGACAGTTAGCATAATTAGGGCCAAAAAAGGCCACTTGGAAAGGCCTCTTGTTTTGTTTTTGTTAATGGCTCCAGACCGCTTAGGCTTTTCTGTTCACTTCTATTATTTAATTTCATTACTAGTCTCCATGTGTCTCAATTTTCTTATTTGCGAACTCT